GGCTGAGCTTAACTATTTGGACATTTCAAAAAGTCAAACATGTTTGAGTTCAGGCTTGTTTAGGTCAGGTTTATTCGGGTCAATCCTAAATAGGCTTGCTTTGCCCGAATTTTTAACTTTACCTGTTGCTCCTCTCCTCTCTTCTTGCATAGATGTGTGATGCATTTGGGGTGTTTTTTTGGCTAACATGTATTTGGATGTTTTCATATTGTTGAAAAAGTGAGGTGAAAAAATATTTAAAAATAAAATAAAATATGAGATCCATTATATTTTCCCCCAATTTTTCTATCTATAGGTGGAGAAACTTTGAGAGTAAAATTTTGTTCTAACTTCTACCCTCCTCTCTCAACACTTTGATTTAACAATGTTTATTTTCATCTTGAAAGATATTTTTAGAATTTATTGACAATTTCAAAATAAAATTTTAAATTATAATAAACAAATTTTACTAAAATGTATATTTTTATTTAAAAATATTTTATAATTTGAACGAAAGGAATATTTAAAACGAGTGAAACGGAATACTTGGACATTGCGTGGCATTAATCGGTGCAAATGGATGAGCGCAGCAATTACGTCACAACTGCCAAAGCCCAGCCCATGGGCGAGGGATGACATTTCAAGGGGGGCAAACTTGTAAAAATATGCCCGCGCGTTAGCGCACGGGCTTTCTAGAACCTGTTGACAATCCGCATATCAATTTCCGCCACAAAATTAATGCTCACATTTCCAATTAAAATTAGGTGCCTGCGTGGCTGCGTTCCTAAATCCTCAATTTCTTTTTTAACTGAAAATGACATCTATAAACTTTATGAAAACAATAATAATAATTGAAAACACCAAATTAATAAAATATCATAAAATGATTGTGTTTTTATTTATAATTAAAAATAAAAAGCTAAATTATACATTACTCTCATGAATTTTAAACCATATACACACAACCTCCTTAACCTTTAAAATCTTACAATGAACTCTCCTAAAATCTCATATTTATATAGATAATTTTATATGATTAATTTTATATATTAATTATCCATATATAACTTAAAATTTAAAGGGTTATTTATATATCAATTAAAGTTTGGGGCTCAAATACATACAAAAATAAAGTTTAAGGGGGTATATAATTAATAGGTTAGGGTTATTTGCGTAAACTTAAAAGCCCATGGAGGTTTATTAATAAATTTTAAAGGTTAAAAGAGTTATTTATATATAATTTAAAGTTTAGAGAATTTGTGTGTAATTTAACAAAAATAAAAAAATAGATAATTATTAAAATAACCAATAGAGTATCACTCATAAATTTAAAAAACAAGTAATTTATGAAATTAAAAGTTATCATTTGAGAATCAATAAAAAATTTATTGCAAATAAGTATATAATCTCTTAAATTTTTGCTAGTTATTTGACAATTTAACGATTGTTACTCGTAAATTTTATGAAGATTTAATTATAAAATCAATAACTAGTCTAATAAATTTATGCATTATTGCTTAAAGTTTTGGTATAGTCAAATATAATTGTAAATTTAGATACTATCACGCGTGATGATATAAAGTGTGAATTTTGTGAATAGATTTGGGCAGTCTTAGTTGTAAATTTATGAATCAAGACAATTTCCTATTTTGAAGTATTTTTCATATATTTAAGAGTGACAATAAATAAATTCACAGAACTATATATCCTATCCATTTACAGTTAACTTTTAATGGATTTACAAGATATCCTTCCTTTAATTTAAAATTAATTTTTCTTAAATATTTAAGTGACTTTTTATTGATGATTTATACTTAATTGTCATTCCCCCTTATTTATATATGGAGCTATTAATTAGGATCGAGCTCATTGGGCTAACCTTTTTCAGCCCAAAAAAATTCAAGGCCCAACCACTAATTTAGAGTATAAAATGTAAATCAGGTTTTTCAACCCTTTTATAATTTTTAAAATTTTTAATATTAAAATAATTTAAATACTACATCAATTTTAAAACCATAGCCTTATTTTATGGGGATGAAAAAAAACATATATGAAAAGCTTGATATCTTTTTCACTGATGAGATTTTATAAGGAGAAAGATGAAATTATATTGATGTCAATGACAATAAAAATAATTAAGATTTAGCTAATGATGCTAGTAAAGTTTGATTGTTATTGGTGTTAATTTTATGATATTGTTTTTTTATTAGATTTAATTTTTTTGTTGTGTTTATGGATTTAAATTCATTTTTAGGTAAAGGGGCAAAAATACCCACAAAGTAGTTAGCTATGGGCACTCAGTATCCTAAAGTAATAAAAAGGGCAAAAATACTCATAACGTTATATGGATGGGTGCAAAAGTAATTAGACCGTCAATTTTGACCTAACTCTGTTAATTTTGATCGCTAAATGCTGACTGTGCATGTCACGTGGACTAAAAAAGGGGTAAAAATACCCATGAAGTCATAGACCAAGAGCAAGAATACCCATAACGTTACTAGAGTTGGTGCAAAAGTGATCAATCCATCAAATCTCTTAAATATTGACCGTTTAGTTGACACCTAAGCAGAAGTTGATTATTTTTTCGCTGATGTAGACAAAAGTTATTCCAAGATAAATTTTTATAGATGTTGATTGATCATTATATGATTATCTATAATGCTATTTTAATAGGTGCAATACTGACTAATTTGTCAAAATTAATGCCATATAGTTTATTTTCATCACCATATATTCCTTTCTCCCTCTACACTCATTTTTTTTATCTGCAGACTTGAAATTTAACATACTGAGATCGATTGTTTAAAATTGAAGATCGAGACTGAGCACATCTAGCTTAAGAATATTGTCACAATCTTAAATAATTGCATTCACGATATACACAAAATTTTCAAATGATTTTCACCACTACTACAAAGAAACAAACAATTTAATTTGATATTTAGTTAAAATGACATTTTCTCATATGATATTCATACAATAACTGATTAAATTTCAGAGAATTTCCTCTAAGAATTTTTTTTGTCTATGTTAGTGAAAAAAATAGTCAAGTTTTGCATAAGTGTCAGTTAAACGGTCAACATTTAAGGGATTGAATGGATTGATCACTTTTACACCAATTCTGGCAACGTTATAGATATTTTTACTCTTGGCCTACGATTTCATAAGTATTTTTTCCCTTTTTGTAGTCCACATCACCAAAGATTAACATGTGACATGTACAATCAGCATTTTACGATCAAAGTTAATGGTGTTATGTCAAAGTTAACGGTCTGACTACTTTTGCACTCATCCATGTAAACGTTATGGGTATTTCTATTCTTTTTATCATTTTAGAATATTAGATGCCCATGGCTGACTACTTTGTAGGTATTTTTACCCCTTTATCTTTTATATTTTTAGACTTAATGTTATATGTAATAATATTTTAAAATTTTAAATATATTTTTTAAATTAAAAATAAAAAAATATAAGGTTGAGGCCTTGAGGGCCAGCCTTTCAACCCTAAAGGATAGGGTCGAGTTGACCAAAATAAAATTATAAGATATAATCGGGCATAATAATCCTAAACGATGGTTCTATTTATATCAATAATTTATAAATCACATTAACGTGTCCTCAAAATTTTAATAAATAAATTAAATTTTTCATAAGTTTTAAATAGTCCAATTTATTGTATATTTTATATTTCATGCACATTAATATACCGTCAATCTTCATAAAAATATAAATCAATACATGAAATCCATCATAATTTTTTGGCCAAAAATCCATGATAATTCTGAACAATGTGATTCGTTGTAAATTTTATATCTTATACGGACAATTATCCATTGATATTGTTGATTATATGATCTAACTATTAATGCAATTATAATCTAAATGTTAAAATATTAAATTCATTTTTTTGAAATATTTTTTTTGAAATATTTTTTTTGAAATATTTTTTTAAAAAAAGATATTACAAAATTATTTAAAATCTTAAATTTTCAAAATTTGATAATAATTTCTATATTTGTAACTAACTACAATTTAAATGATCATTTAATGAAAATTTTTAAAATAAAGTTTTTACAATAATAAATTTTCAAGTTTGATTTGGGAAGGCCGTTACCTAATCACTTTGATTTGTTTTTAAGCCCAATTATCAGCCATAAGTAGGAGTGAAAATAGATTAGACTCTTATTAAGAACCTACATCCTAGCTTACTTCAAGCTCAATCTAACCTATTTACTAAATAGACTCGAGTCAGATTCAGGCCTTTAATTAGGCATATTTAGTTAAATAGGTCAGGTCTAATTTTTCAAAATCAAGCCTACAAACTTAACAGGCCAGTCTATTTACACACACACACACATGTATGTATGTATATTATGTAATATATCATACATACATCAATTTCACCATTTAATTTTTAATCAATATATTTTTTAAATTTTAGTTATGTTTTTAATTATACTGGCTTATATATTAATTTTAATATTATTACTTTATTATTGTATTATATTATAGTTGGTAAGTCCTTTTAATTATTACATATTGTAATTGATAAATCATATTATATATTTACATTAATAATCCTAAAGTATAATTGAGACATTTAAAAATAATATGCGAGTTTATTTAAAGGACTTATCTTTAAGTAAATTTTTAAATAAGCTTTCAGGTCAAGCCAGATTTAAATTACAAGAAAAGCTTTATATAAGTCTTAGATTAGGCTAAACCTCAAATTTATCACATAAATTCAGGTCTATTTAACTAAAATCTAATTCAATCTAATTTATTTTTACCTCTAGTCACGAGGCAGGAGGGAATTTTCTTCATGCGGGGGAAAATAAGGGTTAGATTTTCAGTAAAATGACAAAGTAAAAGTTTTCAATAATTAGAATTTTTTTCTTAATAAAAAAGAAAAAAAGAGCACACGTAACTAAGGCAGCTGGCAGTACACAGACAAAATACTTAAAAATGGATGCTTTGTCTGGCCACAATTTTTATTTTTCTATACATAAATGTTCAGAGAGCCTTTAGCGCTTTACGTGCTCACTGCTCACACCTAGGCCTCATCTCATTTCCGGCCTGGTCAAAGAAATATTGAAACGGAACAACGCATTTTTCTTGTTCTTTTGATTCGGAACAGGAAGTCAAGGGAAGAAATCTCACCGAACAAGCTCATTCTCATCCTTATATCCAGTTTTTCTTCGGAGTTGCTCTCCCTTTTTATCTCACTTCCCGGCGCCTATCTGGGATTTGTTTTCATGGATTTCTTCTTCACTTTTCTTGGTAATCCTTCTCTTCTCTGATTCAACTCGCATCTGCTTTTGCTAACTATTCTTGCCTTCTGTTTCCCCGCTCTTCATGGTTTCTTGATATGCTGTGGACCGAATTTTATTTGCGGCATGCATTTGTGTATTTAGTAATTCGCTTGAGTCTTCATCCCGTGTTTGATTTCTGAGGGAAGTTTCGGTGTGGAAGGGGGATAAATTTCTGAACCATGTATTTATTTAATAACCCTTACAAGTCTCCAATCGAAGCCAGGATTCGGGTGGATCAACCCCACTGATCGCCTGCATGTCATTGATTTATGATTGTTAGGTTTTCTGTCCGAAAATTTAAGTTCTCTTTCTGAAAATCTTGATTCCGCTACTGCCAATCTTGCACAGTTATGTTTGGTAAAAGTTACACCGCCCTTTCTGTTTACTTGATGCGACACTTTTGTTGGTACCACAGGTTAAGCATACGGAGACATGGCTTATAACGGAAGAGTTAACCCGGACTGTTCGTATGCGTCTAATCCATACCATGAATGCACCGAAACTTGCCTGAGAAAGATCAGGGAGGCCCCGCCACCGCAAAATAAAAAGAGTTCAGGTCAACTCAACTCTGTCTTCTCTGCTTGATGGCATTTTATGATTTTCATATGTGAAGTGAACGTCACCTTTTGCGTTGTTGGCAACCGTCCTGAAACTTCTCATTGTATTTTGGCTGGAATAATATTAATTAAATATGGATTCAACAAGAGCGGCTTATGGCCATCTTCTTTTCATGAAAAACTTTGACGAGTGCGATGAAGATGATTTGCTGTTTCCTTGATCATTTGTTGTCGTTCCTTTTTCCACTGTGTGTCCATCTGTCGTTACTCCCGTAGAATGACTGGTATAAGTAATTTTAACATGATCAAACATCTATGAATTTTCCTCTTGACCACAATATTGTGATTCGACATATTTGGGATTATATAATTCTTGGAGATTTTCCCTAGATCCCTCTAAATAGGAAAATGACAATTTGGTCCTGTGAAATGTGATAATGATAATGAGGTTCCAAGGGATTTCTTTGAGATTAAATTTCTATGTGAAATTACTTTAGTACCCACCTACAACAACTAATTTTATATGGTTCATAGATTTGGTATAAGTATTCGCAAGTTTGGTTCTACCAATGAATAAAACAATTTAGGAAATCACAATTTTTTATCATCAATTTTCTTCATTTAGCAAAGTCTAACTAATTTTTTGTGGTTCATCAGTTTGGTACAAGTATTCACAAGTCCACTAATGACTAAAATGAAGAAGTCCTTGGAACCTCATCGTCCATTTTGCAGGATCAAATTGTCATTTCTTTATTTAAGAGGGATTTATCTATCATTCTCACTTCTTTCTAGCTGGCAACCTCTCAACACATGCAAAGTCTTTTTCCTTTCTTTTCAAAGATTATAGCAGTGCTGTAACAGATTATGAACTTGGAAAAAATATAAATGACAAAAAAAGAACTCGTGCAGGTTGCCCTAAAGCATCTAACCCCTACTGTCGATGTGATGAAAATTACTACAAAAGCAACTGATTCATGTTTCCCAATTTTTTTCTGCTATTTAAGGATACCACCAGTGGCTTACAATTATGCATTTAACCTACAACACTACATGTCTTCTTGAAGTGAAATTCATCGCCTGGTTGATTCTATTGAAATACAACTTATATTTATTTATTGTATCCTGTCTATCTATTCTATATTCTTTCTATACATAAAAATTTTGAAGAGCCGTTTAAGCTTTTCACTATTCATAATGTCACACGTGTGCTCTGCTTGGGGCTTTGTTCTTGATCCTTTTCTTTTCTTTTCTTTTTCTTTTTTAAATATGATCCTGTCCAGTTTTAAGTATCATGTCCTAGGGGACTTTGTAAGAATGTTAACGTGAGAGTTATTTCTTGTCCCACTGTGCATTGAATAAAAAAAATATGTTCTGCTTCCATTTAAAACGTATGCCAATCTTCTTAGTATAAACGAAAATATCATGGAATCAATTATGATTGTTTTGAAAGTCGGAATTGTTTTGAAAGTCGGAACAGGCTGGCTTGGAGGAAAAAGAATTGTAGTACCCCTTGATATGATTTAACAGTTTGTGCTCAAATGACAGAAAAATAATTGCCATTCGAAATATCTTGATGAAGTGTATAATTTGTTATCTAAAAATTTGGTGCCCATAAGGAAACTTCTACCAGGGTTCAATCGGTTTGACTGGTTTAAATATTTTGCTATATTCAGATCCCTGATATCGTGAGAGGTTTTCACATGAAATGATTAGTAGTTGCTGAGTCTGGTCCATTTTAATTACAGGAGTCATTCCTTTGAAGTTTGGATGGAAAAAGAAGCTAGATTCCCAGCCAGAACCTCCTGCTATCGACAGAACTCCTGCCTCGAAAGTCAGGGCAAGTTATCGCTTTGAAAAGAAAAAGGTGGAGACAAAAACCAATGAGCGCGTCTCTTCTGAGCCAGTTTCTACGGAAAAATATATCCAACATGTGATGGTAGTGGCCTTTTCTTTCTCATGCTCTATGAGCACACCTGTGTGTTTTTTATGGCTAATGCAGATGCACCCATCTTCACCACATATATTGATATTGTTTCTTGTACTTTTGTTTCTTGGCAGCCTATCTATCAAAAAGACCAAGAAAAGGATCATGTTGAGCACTTTGCCAGTAATCACACACAGGCAAATCAAGAAAATGAAAGAAAAGGTGTAGATAAAGTTGTTCCATGTGCCCATGCTGATGACACAGGTGAAAGTCTTTCTGCTTCAGCTGGTAGATTATTGGATTTTAGTTTGTCAGGTATTAGTATTGCTAATGGTGACGAAGATAGTGAGGAAGAGACAGAGTCTCTTGCTTCTGAACCTCGTGTTCCTGTTGGAAATTACCGTGTGAGAGAAAGTTATGCTCCTATTTTACGCTCTATTTTTGACAAGTATGGGGATATAGGAGCAAGCTTTCAATTAGAATCAGCTGTCATGCGCACATATTACGTGGAATGTGTATGCTTTGTTGTGCAAGAGTTACAGTCAACCTCAATAACGGAGTTCTCAAAATCAAGAGTCAAAGAATTAATGGCTATCCTTAAGGATGTAGAATCTGCCCGACTCCAAGTAGCTTGGTTGCGAAGCATGCTCAATGAAGTTGCTGAATATATTGAACTGATCAATCAGCATCAAGCCGTAGAGATGGCCAAGGCCAACTCTGACAGTGAAATAGAATCCCTGAGGGAGGAGCTTGAATCAGAATTGAAAACCTTGGCTCAGAAAGAGCGGGAGGTTGCTGCTATAAAAACTCGGGTTGCGGAGAACCAAGATCGCTTGAGGGAGCTGGAGCTGACGTCTTGTGAACTGGATAAGAGCTTGTCGTCGATCAAGTCCAAGGTTGATAGTTTGGATGGAAAATCCTTGATCGAAGAAATGTTGGAGTGCAAAGTGCGTGTGAATCGTGTTTGATTGCGTTTAACTAGTAGGATGTTAGTGGATTATAAAACGCATATAAGCAATACATGCTAGTGGGTCAAACGCATGGCATACGCATTTTGGCGTTATTGCAAGATTTTCGGGTAGGCAATATTGAGGGTGACTGCAATGGCCGGGGTCAACCAGTAGTCACGGAGTATGGTTTGAATCTGTCGTGCTATTTGTAAAACTAGATTGGATAATATAGGCTACTTAGTGTCTCTTTCGGGCGCAGACAATGGTCTCGAAAGATGCTTTTTAAGCTGGCATTCATCCCGGTATGGTGCCCGGGGGAAACAAAACATTTTGAAACAGCAAAGCATGAGAAAGCCTGCCACGATCATTTGGTCATTGATCAGAACTATCATCTGCATTAACTTCATAACAACCGCGCTGGAATTAGAAGCCAACTTGTCAAAACATGCCATTGATCAGAGAGAGTAAATCCATCCACCTATTCCGCTATCTCCCAATCCTCTCATATATAGCCCAGCCTCATGCGGCGAAACGCCAGGATGTTTCCGCCGAACGGTTAATTCCTAATGGTCGTTTGATGTATTTTCAATTAGTTTTCTTATGAACGTCATTTGAGGGCAATTCGTATCCAAATGCTTTCTCTTCAGTCACTCTGTTCTTTTCGTCAGGTCAACTTAGCGTGCCAATTCCTTATCTCAGCCCCCCAGTCGAAAACTAAACAAAAAAAAAAATAATGCAGCATGGTAAACATTTTTAAGTTTTACCCTAAAACAAAGAAGCACCGTAAACCTTTTAGAAAATTTGGATAAAAACCAAAAACGTGTTTTTTGTCATTAAAAGTGTACTATGTTATCCATAGAAAAAATGTATCAAATTACTAGACTGCATAACTATCTTTCGATTAATCATCATACTCATTTCTAAAGACTCATAAACTTAATTTCAAAGGCCGTGTTGAGAGAGAGAGTGTGCGCGCACTATTGGATGATAGTATAATGATGAGATATTTACTTGAAAAAATGACAATAAAATTTTTTTAAATGATATAAATGATAATTTAGTCTCTTAAAATGATAAAAATATATTAAAATATTGAAATATTTTTTTATCATTAATGAATTAATGTAAATAATAAAATTAACCTTGATTTATTATATTGCTAAAATGTAGCAAATGATAAGTGTCAATCACAAATTTCATTTAAATAATTATAACTTTTCTTTTTAAAATTACAAAAATACGATATAAAATTACAAGTTTGCATTTCAATTTGATATTCCTAAAGTTATGATTATTTAAGAAGGAATTTGAAATGTGAACTTGTAATTTTTTATTACATTCTTGTGATTTTAAGAATAAAAGTTATGATTATTTAACCAAAACTTACGATTAGTACTTGTTATTTGCTATACTTAAGCAATATAATGAATTTAATATATGAACTTATAATTTTTGTTACACTTTTGTGATTTTAATAAAAAAGTTGTAATTATTTAAATAAAATTTATAATTGACACTTGTTATTTGTAATACTTTAGGAATATCAAAAATTTGAAATGCAAACTTGTAATTTTCTATTGCATTCGTACAATTTTAAAAAAGAAAGTTGTGATTATTTAAATAAAATTTATGATTGACACTTACTATTTGCAACACTTCAACAATATAATGAATCAAAGGCAATTTAGTTATTTACATTAATTTATTAACGATAGAAAAATATTTAAAGATTTCAGTATAATTATTTTATTTTGAGAGACTAAATTATTATTTATATAATTTAAAAAGATTTTACTATCATTTTTTCTATTTACTTTTGAATGTGCAAGTGCACAAATTTAGAGTATTCAATTTCAAGGTTACGTTAGTCAGATAAACCCCGCTCAGTCACATAATTGATAATTCAGTTTGATATGCAAACGTTTTTTCTTTGCCACGGCTTGGTATTTAAAAGTTTAAAGCTAATGTTATCATTAGCTAGAAATTTCAAAAAATAAAATATATTTAAAACAACGCAAAGTTTTTTTCAAAACTATTAAGGTTTATTTCAATCATCCAAGTAAGAATAGTTTTATTAAGAGATATTAAAATTAAAATATCTTTGTAATATATATTTCTAGACCAATATCCAACGGGAAAAGTGGAAAACCACCTAACATGTCAAGTTGCTTCATAAATAATGTGAATTATAATTTTAATATATATATATATATATATATGAAAAACAACAATTTTAGAATTCTTTGTTGGAATATTTATAAATAATTGTGGATTTGTATTGATCTTGTGTGGATTATGAAAGGTAAACCACATAAGTGAGTCCGATAGATAGAGACTTGATTTACAATCCTATAATTGTCAGTTATTTCATATTTTTTAACTGACTGAGTTAAGAATAATATGAGATTAATTAATTAAAACAGTTACTAATCTGATCCATATAGGTTAGTAACCAATATGAGTTGTGACTTTTTCACTATCTCCATTATTTTTGAACTCTGCGAATTATGGAAGTCTTGTAGGTTGTAAGTCTATCCACATTCGAGGTAATCAAGGAGTCATAACTTGCAACTATAAATTCTTCTCATTAAACTCAACATTGATTATTTTATATAATTATTGAGATACTATCAACATTCTTAACAAATATATAGTTTTCTTTTTAGCTCCATCTGCATATTTGAGGACTTAGATGACATGGTTCATAGAAATAAGGGAAACCATGATCATAAAATTACCAGCATACATTTTGTAATAAAAAGTAAAAACCATGGTTTTAAAAATCAAATCAGGTTGGCTGATTCAATTAGTTGATCCAAAAATTACTTACTAGTCCAATCCGGGTGGCTCAAAACCAGACTTTTAAATACCGGTCATAAACCGGTAAAATTGAAAAAAATCAAAACCGGTTCATGCTTAAAATTGGGCCAAAAAAACAAAAGTCTTGTGTGCTACACAAATGAGCCCAGAGCTGTAATATTTGTCAAACTATACCTCAGCTCACATGTTGCACGTTACACGCTTTATATAGGAAATGCTCCTCCACTGTCTTCTTTGGTTGTTCGACGTGGGACTTGGGTACAAGAGCAGTAATACTAATTTTGTATGCAAAAGAATGCTTTTTTCATTTTTATTATCGTTAATGTTCATTGATTATTTTACTTAATCCTTAAATTATTTTTATAATATAAATACAAATCTTTAATTTTTATACTTTTAATTATTTATGTATAATTTTATATAGTGTTTATATTTTAAATTTAGCTTTTTCCTTTTTAAATGTTTCTTATTGTTTGAGTTAAAATATAAAACGTCGCTTGAAAAAGTCACAAGGTTATTTAAGCTGAATAACTGAAAAGTCAGACTCAATTTGAACAAAGAAGCCGGCTCTAAACTCAATAGAAAGCCATGATAGAATGAACATGCCGAAATCTTGCCAGTTATGAACATTGGACTGTTGGTACATAAAGACACGATCCCGAGTGATTCCAAAATTTATGGACATCATGCCCCAATATCTTGGTGAGACGGGCTGATTACTAAAAGTGGAGAATATTGAGTGAACACCGTGCCATGAGTTTCGTGAAATCTCTAATTCTTTGGCAAAATGCTCTCGATTTTAAGGGAGAGACTATCACCACTCTAACATAATAAATAGAAGACAAAGACACATAAGAAAAAAGTCAACACTCAATCAAAAACTCGCATTCTGCACCTTTAGCTTTTAGTTTTATCAATTAGTTTTTTACTTTAAATCTAGATTTATAACTTTTTCACATTTCAATAAAAATCAAAACATTTATTCTATCAAAGTTTTATATATCTTTTACATTCGAGTGAATTGTGATAAGAGAGCTCAAGACACTTTTGTTATCAATTGAGATTTAATATCTCCGACAAGCTTGGTATTTGTTGTTTACACACGAACACTAATCAATATTATACACTAATAAAATGATTTTTCATTAAAAAAGAAAAAATTTAATAAATATCATTTTATAAATTTAATCTTATATATTACTTATACTGTAATACTTAATATATAAACATTTAAATGTAATAATTTAATCTGATCATGATTTAATTATTGACCTTTAAATTAGTAGCTTATTTAATTTAATGACTTTTAAAATCACGATAAAAACTTCATAAAATGTAAAACAAAAACAAATGGTCGTTCCAAGTTTTAACTTGTAATGTAAATTTCCCATGGAACTGCAGCTGCACAGGAGATAGGACAGAAGGCACTTGGTCGTTGAGAGTTGAGTTATTTTTCGATCTGAATTCTGAACAACCCTCGTGTATCTTCTCTAAATCCAAAGCCTACTCAAACACTGCCACGACCTCCGTCAGCCCCCTCTTTGACCGTTACTTTAAAAATTACGACATTAGAGCCCTTAATATAGGTTAAGTCAGTAAAAAAGTGATAAGTTCGGTTAGAAAAAAATAGATTCAATTACATGTGCGATGATTTTGACTCACTCCATATAACTCAAACTCACAGCAAACTAATATGAAGGTTAATAAGTTAGCCTGTTTATTTTTAAAAAAAATAGATGGATAGAAAATAAATAAATAAGATTGAATTTAAAGTAAAACATTTAAAGTAAGCATGTATAGAATATTACAGTCTAAATACTTGACACATTTATATTTATTTGATTCAAATTTAAATTATGAGAGAAAACAATAAAATCACACTGCTCAAATATTTAAATAGTGATATAATATAATCTGAATGTAATTAAGATAAGATTGAATAAAATATTTTATTGTACTCTACTTCATTTATATAACAGCTTATTTAGATTATCTCGTTTGCAAAATAGTGCTCTTAAGCTAACAAATAAAAAAAGTTTAGATTTTGATTTTATTTAAAAAATTAAACATATTTATGAAGTGATAAATATATATTATATTATCATTTCACTTTGAATATAAAAGGAAAAAAAAGATACAGATATCAGAACGTTTAGGTGATATGAACCGAATGTATTATAAGTAGTAATCTAATAGTCAGAGTTTAAATCATCATCATTTAAAAAACTTGGTTTTTTAAACTGAGGCATCAATTCTGTAGCAAAAATGTCAAAACAAGATGAAGAGAAAAGGAGATAGACAAATTATTTTTATTAATTTATATATGTGTAATATTGATCAGTCATATAAAAGATTAAAGAACAAAGTGATCACAAAATTAAATTAATTTATATTTAAATGGTGATATAAGTATGACTTGATTATAAGGACTTTTATTGTTATTTGGATAATTAATTTTTAGATGCAATATATGATTTTTTTCTATCCTAAAACATAATAAAAAGAGATAAATTTATATTTTTTTCATGATTTAAAAATTATTAAAAAATACTTTTTACTAGTATGGTTGGCCCATCAACCCACTCTGAATTTGCAGAAGAGTGAGACTTATATACTTAACCTTATATACTTAATATATTTATATTCAATTAAATTTTGTTAACATATAAAAAAATAAATCTTAATATATTAACAACATTAATAATAAAAATTTATTATAGAATAAATAATTTATAAAATACTCACATGTTGGATACAAACACGTAGAAGGTTAAGTATAGAAGCTTTTTCCTTTGCAGAATTACAACCCGCGCAGCGCCAACTCGCCCCACCAAACTCGCAATACACAGCGCTTGGCTACACAGCGCTTGGCCTATGTCACCAGCTCTACACGACACCCTCTCTTCTAATTAACCGTCATTTTATGCCACATAACCCTCCTCTGATGGTGGAGACTGATCATCTATCGCAGTTATAGTATAGGGGACCGCCAAGGCAAAGAAACAAACTCGTATTCAAGTTATGCCAAGAAGAGAATGATCGATTCACTTCCAAAGCTAGCTAACACCAAAATAACTCGTGAAATTAATGGAAAGAAAATGAAGATCACGGTGATCGACATCATTGATTGATGGTCTGATGACAAATTAACAAGCTAGCTAGCTGGCGGGCTTGCTTCTCAATGATCCATGCGCCTTGACAGCTGCCGCCCTCACTATGCATTGGTGGTACGCCGCAGCCGCCATTGCTCCCACAAACGGACCGACCCAGAAGATCCACTGCACACCACATCGTATGCCTCGTTATCAGTTATCTCGACATCTAATAACAGTATACGATATTATAATTGACAAGTACTGTATATGTTAGTAAAGCAAAATCATACATGGTCGTCCCAAACTTCGCGGTTGTTGTAAATAACAGCAGCACCGAAGCTCCTAGCTGGGTTTACGCCGGTTCCGGTGACGGGAATGGTGGCCAAATGAACCACGAAAACAGCAAACCCGATTGGCAGCGGAGCCAGAACCTGTATCAAGAATACTCGTTCAGCGATCAAGTATTATGAACAGAGCATGATTATTATGAATTACGTACGGGAACGTGGGAGTCACGGGAAGTTCTTTTGGGGTCAGTGGCGGAGAAGACGGTGTAGACAAGCACAAAGGTGCCGATAATCTCAGCACCCAGGGCAGTGCCCTCGCCGTAGCCCGCGGACACAGAGTTGGCTCCGCCACCGAGCGACTCGCACGAATGCTTCATGATCGCCTTCACTAACCCCACACCGCAAATGGCTCCCAGGCACTGCGCTGCCATGTAAGCTACAGCCCGAATCAGCGATACTTTCCGAGCCAAGAACAATCCGAACGTCACCGCAGGGCTGATGTGCCCACCTGTGAATGCATGTTCACCGAATCAAACCGAAATCCTCGAGAGTTGAATTGTATTATGATTCTTACCGGAGATGCCGGCGGTGCAGTAGACAAGGACGAAGATCATGCCTCCGAAGGCCCAAGCGACGCCAAGAATGCTGACGCCATCGCACGGGGAGGATTGTTTATTGTGACCAATGGCGGTGGCGACGGAGATGTAGAGGAAGAGGAGGGTGGCGACGAACTCGGCAACGAGATCTCTGTAAAAAGACCAGAGCTTGAGCTCGGCGAGGTCAAAGAGAGGAGCAGGAGGAGGGTCTGCGTAGTCTTTGCCATGCTGCTGGGTTCGGCCTTCTTCGGTTACTTGCTCGGACATCTCGATCGTGCTTTCTCTCTCGAGGTGGTGTTTCAGAGTGGTCGAGGCTGGACTACGGTTTATAGTCTTTTTATAAGACGCTCTCTACAGCCTCTACTTTCAACTTCATAAATGTAGAATCGCATATGGTGTGAGATGTAAACACCTTTTTGCAATTTACTACTTTTACTTTAAAATCTATTTGACCATAGATAAAAAAAAATGATAATAATTTTTTTTAAAATATATAAATAATAATTTAATCTTTCAGTTAATTTTTTTAAATCTTTAGAAATTTTTTTAATTATTAATAAATTTATATAAATTATCAAATTATTCTTATTAAAAATAAATGATTCATAACTTTTTTTCTTCCATTCACAATAATGCAACAGTAAATAAAAAATTTAAAATGTAAATTTATAATTTATTATTGTATTGTTACAAATATAAGAAAAAAATTATGAATAATTTGTTTTTAACAAAAATAATTTAATAATTTATATAAATTTATTAATAATAAAAAAAATTTTAAAAGTTTCAAGAAAATTATATCATTTTAAAAGATTAAATTATTATTTATATATTTTAAAAGAATTTTATTACCATCTTTCCTAGACAAAAAGTGAATTTGCAGCAACTTTTTATTGTAATCAAAGATCTGAGTTGTCGTGGAGACAGGCGTAGAGAGTTGAATTTCACTTGACAGAAAATTTACACAAAAAAATTGTAATTATTTATTTTTTTTGAAAAAAATAATCATTACTAAATTAAAATAGTTACAAATATTTACAACACATAAATTTAATGAATAAAAAATTTGCACATTCAGTTATTATTAAAATAAAAGTAATCATTATTTAAACTAAAGTAGTTATTGTATTTATATTTTTGAGATCAAAGCTGTTATCTTTTTATTTTAAAATGGGAATACTTTAGTCATTTTATAAAAATGATGAATGTCAAAAGGTATCAACGGAATTTTTCATTTACATATTTTAGGAAATTTTTCAATTATTTTTTCTTAAAAATAATGTACATTGAAACCCAGTATGAAAGTTTTTCCCTTTTTATTAAGACATGTTATCAGTAAAGGATTATCAATATTTCAACCAAAGAATAAGTATCAATGTATGATATTAAATTTAATAAATTATAATTAAAAAAATAATACAATTCAACTCAAATTTTAATGGAAATGCGTGAGCATGCGAGAGGGTGTTGGGTAGGGCAGCGGCTCGAACTGCTGGTCAGCTGGCAGCTGAGGCGGGAGCCGGCGGCCCATACAATACGTGTACATTTATTTATTCTTTTATTCGGAGCATGGATTGTAATTTGAATGAGATGCAGTAAACGGTAAGCAAAATTAAATAATAAATGGTTTGAAGTTATAATTCAAAATATTTCAATTCATTGACCTCTCTAACTAGAAATTGGAAAGCCGGGGGAATGATTTTCCTGCATCAAGGCAAGCACCACAACTTGTATTGAATTTTGATTGGATTTCGTATTGTTTGTGGAGGTTGGCTCACGAACATAAATATGCTCACTTGTACTTAAGCCGCTCACTTCAAAACAGGTCATTTGAACTTGCTGATAACAAAATGGAGCTAATTGCAATTTTGAAGGCCACAACCAGACGAGGCACTGACTTTTACTTGTGGAACTGCCCACCAACAACCAGATGAAGCAGGGATTCTCTCAGAAAGGTGAAAACACAACGGAAAAGGTGGTCAATCAAAGTCAAAGAGAGCTCAGGTGTCCGCCAACAGCAACAGGAGGAAACTGCACTTAGAATTAAGGGTATTTAAAATTGGTTTAAACTGAACGGACCAAACCAAATCAATCCAAACTGAAATGAACAAATCAAAATCAATCATAGATTAAGTTTGCTTTAATTTTTATGACACATAAACCGATTGATTTGATTTGGTTTCAATTTTGAGATATGAAAACCGAACCAAATTTAATTAAAAATACCATTTATTTATATAATATGTATCTAATTAAATGTATAAGTTCTTTTTTGGATAATAGGTAGTTGATATAATTTAAGTAGATATTATGATATTTAAAATATGGATATTAGATATTATGTTTTGAATATATATATATATATATATATGTATGTATGTATGTATGTATGTATGTATGTATGAAATTATAGGTGTAAGTATTAATATTAAATAACATGATATTTGAAATTTGGATATTTAATCTTGAGATATTTTTGTGTTTGCTACTTGCTATTAGGTGATGAATTTTTTTTTATAAAGATTCAAATAGTAAAACTTGATTCAAATCTTAGACAAACCAAATCAAACCAAACCAAACTGATTTCAATTGAAACTGATTAAGTTTTACTAACGCTGAAAAACCAGTTGATTCAATTCAATTTAATTTTTGTTCAAAACTAAATCAAGTGTGAACACCTTTACTTAGAGCCACCGGTTCTTCAAAAGCCAAAACCCAAACACTGAAAGCAACGTTTGGGAAGTGTCCCTCGAAAAACAGAGAACGTGGCACTGGTCCTTAAAGCGATGAATACTGTAAAAGCTGACGCCCACACGTCACTGATCTCCATTAACAGTCATGCAGCAGTAGCAGTGACACAGTTGGATACAGGACAACGAAAATCCAGAAAAAGAGCGGAAGCCAACATATATCACAAATTAATAATCTTCTCTTCTCATTGCTGTTACAATTTACAAATGCCTCGAAGCAGCGGAGCATCACTATGGCTAAGATTAAAGTATGTTTTACTTTCCCTGTCAGACTTGTCAGGATTGTTTCTCCTATAATCATTTTTTCAAGGTTCAAAACATACGCTTCTAAAAAGAACGCAGCCGCAGTAGAAGTGCTTCCTCCCTCCCTCCCTCCCTCTATTCCGTGTCTGGTTGGGGATGAAGAAGAGTAGAGGACTGATTTTAATGAGTTTAATTTTAAAAAAAAAATGATGACAAAAATTAATTAAAAATGTCCTTTTTCTTTTTAAAATTGAACTTATTAAGATCTCTCGTCCCCTCCATCCTCTATTCCCTCCAACCAAACAGATCAATCTCGTTGCATGAAGCTAAACGCCCGGAGTGAAAGCGTCTCCATGGTTAGATAGAATCAGAATCAGAATGAGATCATGTCAAGTGCGGACAAAGCGAGTCACTATCCAGTGGATCTGTGAGGTAGAAAAGTATTAACTTGACTGTGATAAGGTAGATAAATGGCAATCAACTTTGCAGTGTAAAGCATCAAGCATCCATCACTTGCCAAGTTATTTTCAGTCGTGGACCAGTAAAATCCTTCAACGGCGATGACAGCCAAGTTTGAGGATACAATTACAAATATACTCAACGAATGCTTTCCTATCCACTCCAACGCACGTGTCAAACGTCTGTAACCATGGACATCTACCTGCAAATACACTTGATTACCAATTATCAAACACTAATACGTATAGCGGGAATGGTTTAGGAAACACAAGAAAGGGAAATCCAGACAAATGTCAGCCTCACAAAGTTGTTGACAAACATTTTATCTAGAACTCTATGCTCAAACAAAAGGAATGCGTCGGTTATTTGCCTTTAATCTCTCTGAACTCATTAGGATCCCTGTAGAATTAAACAATAAGTCAGAGTTGTAAGCTTAGGTGCCTGTCTGGATTGGCCATGATACTCAATTACTTGTACGGAAACGGGGTTTCGGTGAAAAATATCCAAACACCTCCATTTTGCATAATTGATTATGTAACTCCAGACCATGCCTAGATCATTAGAAGAAAAAACGACAGGCCACCATCAGAAGATGTGTCGTTTGGAAACACAATGCCTAGTAGTATTACACTGTAGCTGAAACTTGTTTATCTGGAATGAAATGTCATGAGTCCACACCATGAAGCCTCACAAAGTGAAATTTATAAGTACGAGACTCTCCCATCCAATTAATTAATCTTTTAAGATGAGTTCTCCTTTTAAACTTATACTGATGACGTAAAAGTTGAGGCTACTGATTAGTCCAGGATGTAAAATATCAGAGAATTCATATCATCCTATCATTTGAGAACTCACCAAAAGATATAAAGCACTGAATGTGATTCCAGAAACTGCTGAAGTCGCCAGCATATAACTTACTGTGTACAATGATTTATTTAGAGGGATGCCTGAAAAGGAAGTCAAATAATTAATACAACATTTTCAGTGGCAACACTGAATATAGAGAAACTGATTGGCCAAAAGCCCAAACAAAATGAAGTTGTCTACCAACTGATAAAAGTGCCCACCTATTAGAGCCATAAGCAATCCAAGTGCCAAAAATGAAACCGAAAACCACATCCAGATCTTTAGGCGCCCTCTGTGGTCCTACAGTTCAAGCATGCAGAAAAGTAAAAGGTTAGATCCACCAAACAGTAACGACAGGGACACTGGGACTGTAGTGGGACAGGAATATTTCAAGTTACAATGTGCTGTTAAGAAAGCAGAGTTCGATGCCAAAACAAGGTCCAAATGCAAATAGATTATAAGAGCATAGAGTCTACGATAAGTTTTAAATTAATGAAAGCTTCATTAGAACTGCAAACATCTTTTATAAGCCAGTGAAGTTCAGTAAATTTAAACGTGATCTCACCTGTAGATATGCAAGAACATGACCATATTGAAGTCCAATAATACAAGATACTGCAGCCGTTAAGGAGCTGTGAGCAAGAAAATAATAAGGTGGCTTTCAAAAAATCAATATAAACATAGCAACATAATGGGCACAAAAAACGCACGTAGTCCTGTCGTATTGTGCCATTATGGCATTAAGTTAAACAAGTTTATCAAAGGCAAACTTTCCACGCAGAATCAATGAAGGATCTAAACATCAGTAGAAATTAGTAGATTCAATCAATATCAATAATCTACTCAATACTCCTAGAAAAGGCACTTCTCAAAATTTTCAATCAATCATAAGCAGTACGATACTAGGGAAGAAAAAAAATCCAAAAAAAATATCATATGATCATGTCATTATTTAAAATAGACAAGGCATATATCTTAACTTAAGTCAATTGGGTAAAACAGTTCCAAAAAATAAGGACCTCTAGGAGAATTTGGATCGCAAATGCATACATATAGGTCCTCTTCTCAATAGCAAATAACTAATATCGAAATTTTTTACTGAAAGAAATCATAAGCAACAACAGGAAGACTCAGCTTCAAGGGGAATTCTGGAAACTTCAATCTTAAGCAGTTATAAGGCTTTGTTTGAGCATGTATTGGGTTTATTTTTACTTCTCACGGAATTCAGAAGTGTATAAAAATAATTTCATTGGATCATCAACCGAAAAATGAGAGCACATCGATCAGCAAAAGCAGCACAATATAAGATCAGCATGACTTTCAGAATTTTAACAGGACAAAAAAATAAATATGCATGAAGTTCAATGCAGATATCCAAGGGGAAAACCAAAAGAATAGAATGGCCACCTTAAAATGCCTTCAGGATCAAAAGGAGCAAGACACCATGAGTGTGAACTGTCTGAAACTTGGTCACTAGCAGACATCTTACATTCCTGGAAGTTTAATAATCAACAAGGCATTAACGTGTTTGCATAGGGCTGTAGATAACCGCACGAAGAAGTAGAATCAGCTGCTAAAACCTTGAGATTTCTGTAAACAGGCTTTCTATACAGATGGTCAAGACCAAGAATGTAGCGGTCAATCATTCCAGCAGAATTACAGGCAGGTCCGAGATCCCCTCTCACAGAACAATTTACCTGTTATTAAAATTGAGAACAGTGCAGGCAATACTATAACTAAATGTATTTTGAATTAAAAAGACAGAATAGTTCACAATCTACTGTATATGGGTTGATGAACAAGCTTTCCTCCTCCTCCTCCTCCTCCTTTTTTTCCCCTTAAACATATAATGAGCATTGCACAACTATCTTCAGAGTTAAATTTGATGATAACTCAGTTAAGAAAAGTAACACTGATGTGGTCATCAACATTTGGTCATTCCTAGGAAGTAGCGTGAATTAAACTGTAAATGCATTTCCTTCATATAATTTAGACTGGCCCTATGAACAGCTTTTCTAACAATGTGATCCCCTGAGCTTGCAGCTAGGAAGCATGCAGGTCAAGTCCAAGATAAAATGCACAAAAGGCACACCTAAGTTGAGATAACAGGAAAGAAAAGGGAAGAAAGCTAGGTGCTGAGCTTACTCTCAAAGCGTAAGTGTCGCTGTCATTCATTGGGATTCGGTGCAGAGAAGAGGTCAAAACCGATACTTCAAATTGCCAATCTGGAACATATAGACCATAAAGTAATCCTGAGTAAATTGCCAACAGTAATGCCACCATAAACCTACATAAAAGAAACCATTAAGAATATCAAATGACAGAGGAACAAAAATCCACACAACAAGAATTTGAGCAACATTTATTTATTGTGTTAATTGATAAGCCTTATAGTTTATAAACAGTTAACAATATTTACAATGAGGTAATGTTATGAAATGTATCTCCAAGTTATGGCAACTAGCATGCGCGCGTGCTTTATTTTTAGTGATCATCAAGCTGCAAGTTGTCTTATCAATCCCAATCAACGATGATTCTGGTTTCGAGAGAATCTTAAATAATGTAGCCAATGCTTTTGGATTCCAATGTCCAAGAGGATAAGCAAGCAGACACAGAGGACCCTCAAACCTATAACACAGAAACAAACAGAAAGGGCATGAGAACTATACCAATGCCTGTAATAGCTCCTGAAGAAACCTATTTCTTTCCATCTTCTACCTGGAAGCCAAATCTCACATAGAGCTGCGACAATGTATCCAAAAGATATCCTCTGGATTGATCGATCGTAACATCAAATTTGTTAGTCCAATATAGCTATCATGCATCAATGAAATACAGGCATCTATAAATACGTCTTGCATTTATCATGTAATCAATCTAGTATTGAAAATAATGAAGAAATTCTCTACGATTGAATTTAAGGACTTAAGACCTGTAAAATCCCCATCCACCGTATTTTTTCCACGTCAACACCATAAGTCAAGGAAGTTATTCCGTGAAAATAACCACCTGAAACGAATAAGTGATCTGAATTAAATACTGGAGAAGAACGAGGCATCTGATAGTGATTTATACAGTAACGAAAATGGGTGAAATCGGCTTTAGTTCATCACCTTTACATATACAAGGAAAGAAGTAGATTGACTGACATAAGATATTCGTTTTTTGTCCCAATCTCATATGAATTTAATACGAATCATATATACGCGCGCGCGCGCGCTCAATGACACGCTTGGGTTCATCTTTGTGTATGGAAACCAAGGGATGACAACTTTCTCTCATTATGAATAGCGAAGGGCTGACAAAAGTATTACCTTGAAGAAGGACGCCAAGAAAAAAGAGTTTCACGGCTCTTAGTACAGCTTTCCATGTCGCTTCTCCTTTATGCGGCCCCCTCTGATGTTATAAAAAGAAAAAGGCAAAAAACAAAAATCACTTGTTTCATTCACTGTACATCCAATTAATGTTTTCCGAAATCCGTCGGCAAACAATAATAATAATGTTTTTCGAAATAAGCAGATGTCAGAAATAAATGCGAATGCAGAATTTAAAAGACTGGTATTGATACCTTGTAAACAAGCGCGAGAGAAACTCCAGCAATAAAGAGAAAGAAAGGCATGACAAAATCCGCCAAGTGAATACCATTCCAGGGGCAATGAGCGATGATGGGGAAGACTGAGCCACCATAATCGACCAGCACCATTAGCTGAAAAACAAAAGAAGCGAGCCAACGAGAAGTGAAAATGAAACGAATATATCAGCGAGAAGCTCATTCAAATTTCAATCTTGCTTTCATGCTTTTCATATTTTGTATTTCGTGGAGAAGCCAGACAAAGAACAGAGGGGATAGGCGTTGACCAAATACATACGAAAACAGAGAGGCCACGGAAGATGTCAAGGGAAGCGACTCTAGCAGCTCTGCGAGGAACAAATAACTGAGGCGGCTCAGAAGATTCTCCGGGCAGGCGGTGTGGGTCGTCCATACTGGGAACCAGGCTACAGGAATAGTGAAGCTCCGGCAACCTTCATCCGTCAAAAAAAAAAAAAAACAAATTAGGTGCCTAAGCATTCATTCAGGTAAAAACAAAAGGCTCCAAAAGTCGCTGTAATCTTTGTTTAAAAAAAAAAAAAAAATCGGATGGAGAAGTTCGAGAAAGAGCAGAAAAGGAAGCAAGAAGAAAACGCTGGGGTAACTGGTAAGCGTACAGTCAACTATGGATTGAGGGTCTGTGAGGTGAGGTTGGAGGTATGTTCTTTGCTCCTACCAAAATGCCAAATGGCCTGCAAGGAAGCAACACTACCGATCTTTCGCTCCTTCGGGGGGTCTACTTCTCCCATTTATTTGACATTGCTGTTGCCTTTTTTTTTCCCCCAAATTGAATCGTTTAAATAATAAAATGGTAAGGCTAGCTGGTTGGCTGCCTTGAATCGGTGACGGACAAGATAGAAACCAATTGGAGTAGAGATATTATGCTGTGGGCAAGAAAAAGATTCCTTGTTGCTGGACCCTTTGCTTATTTGACGTTTGAGCCAATCGCGTTTGTGTATCTTGTCGCTTACGAATCAATTTTGTTGGACAGTTTGACATGCTACCCATACCATCCGCTTAAGAGCTAAGCTACGACCTTTGGCTTCAAATTAAATTTGAACTCGATGCTCAACATCACGTAGGTCCCCCGCCTTTGTGAAAGGCTGCTGTACTTCTACGAGTTTTTCTTTTTATTTTTTCTTAATTTTTTCAAAGTTTTTATATAGTAAACAAACAAAACAGAATGTGAGGGTAGGACTTACCATGAAAAAATTGGTGTTGGATAAATCTGCCATAAAATTTTAGGAGAATGAGAGATAGATTCCAGAATATTTAATTAATAACACTGAAATGCTCGACAATTTTTTCTAAAAACATAAGTTAATAAGTTAAAAATATTGATCTAGATAATTATAAATTCAGGAATTTCACTTACAAATAAATATTTAAGTATTAAATGTAACGTTTATATTATAATAAGAATTTTTGTTTGTAACTATTTGATTGATATTTATAATTCACCTTGTAAAAAATTTTATCAAGAATTTTTTCATTAATTTAATCATTTGGGAATTAACTGTCATTCTCCCTAAATTTTTTGTGGGTTTAATGAAAAAATAGATGGGCGGGATATACAATGAATTTATCAATTTAATTTACACAAATTGTAAAAACAGAAAGTATGAACTCATCTAAATATAGAAAATATTTTTAAAACATTTACTTTCAATTAAAAATTTAAAATTTTTTAAAATATTTTTAAAATGTACAAAAATATTTTTAAAAAAATTATTTTCAATTAAATTTGAAAATACTTAAATTTAAAATATTCATATATTAAAAGAAGGCAAGCATTCAACTCATCGTAAGATTTTTATTGTTTAAAATTTTAATTTATCTGGAATAATACATAGATTATAAATCCGAGACAGATCCACGTATGATTTTTTGAAAGTATCATGTATTTACTGTGACATTCTTCCGAATCCGAAGTCTGTGATTGTGATCTTTGGCCAAAAAAAAGATAAAAGAAGTTTGTGATTGTAATCAAGATTCTAGTGTGGTAGAAGAGAAGTCTTATCTTTTGTCACCGGAAAGCATGTTTTGGAATACCGCAAACATAATAAAAAAAAAAAAAGTTAGAGAGCAAGTTTACATATAAAGTAATTGGTCAGGGACACTCAATGTCATAAAGTAAAAAAATAATATAAATACTCATAACATTATATGAGTAAGTGCAGAAATGATTAAAACATTAACTTTACCCTAATGTCATTAGTTTTCAATGTTGAATGCTGATTGTGAATGCCACATATTAGTTTTTGCTAACTTGAATTAAAACAAGGGCAGACATACCCACGAAGTGGTCATCCAAGGGCATTCAGTAGTCTAAAATGAGAAAAAGAGCAAAAATACTCATAATGTTACAAAACATCAAATTAAATCATTCCCTTCTTTGTAGCAGTAGCAAAAATCACTTGAGAATTTTAAACCTATCATGAATAAAATTATTTAAGGTTCTAACAATATTCTTAAGATAGGGTGGCGTATGAGGTGTGCTTAGTCTCCATCTTCAATTGTGTATAACATATCTCACTATGTTGAATCTCAAGTTTTGCAGACAAAAAAAATGACTGGAGAGGAAGGGAGGGAGGGAATGGGATGCATGATGATAGAAATAAACTACGTGGCATGTGTTGAAAATTATGTCTTACAACCAATCATTGTACTATGAGCATTTTTATTTAATGAAATTCTTTTTTGTTATCATATTAATTACATATTCATTATGAGAATTGTATCAGTGGATGAACTACAATAATTATCCTAAATGTCCCTGATTGGTCATCTATAAGGGATCATAGATGAAACAAGATTAGTGTAACTTTGCTTAAGTATAGAAATATAAATCAAAGTCATAAACACTTGAAAGGGTACGAGCTGTTAGATTGACCCGCTATGAGAAAGCTGCATAATACAAGTTATAAGCTTATCTCATATATAACCATATCACTAAATTCTTTGACCTAAGATAACCATAAATTCCTACACGATGACGAAATTTGACCTGGTCAAAAGTCACCTCTAACTGGGTGATCATAAAGGCTCTAATTGAGTTCAGTGACATTCACAAAGAGGAATATGAGTGGTCAAGATGAAATTTATCTCTCACATTAATTGAGAGATATTACTGGGCCCATCGATGAGTAAGATTGAAAAAATATATGGCCATACTATAATTGAAATGATTTTTTCATTATTATAGTCAATCCACTCAGAGATCGAGAAAGTAATGGTCAGGTAAAGGAAAATAATAATTTCATGTCTCACATTTAACCAAAATGTCATGTGAAAAAGGGATGTGATACAATTATATGATAGGTTACATCAAATTATTGATCCTTATATGAATTAGGTAGTCGTAATGTCTTACTAGAGACCACTTATGACTTGTGGGCTAGTAGTATATAAGCCTTTAGGATCGCATATAAGAACAACTAAACTTGAGTTATAATGTTTAAGTTCATTGAATCTAGAATGTGTTTAGATTTAATGAATATAATGCTTTATATAGGGTAAACGAATTGTGTGCGTGCGCACATTTAAATATTTATCTGATAAATATTTGTATATATATGCGTATGTGTATATAAAATATAAAATTCAAAATATAATATGTGTGTGTGTTTTCGAAATATATATATATATATATATATATTTGTATATATAATATAATATAATATTATATTATTGTATTAGTCTTAAATATATGATAAATTAAATTCAATGACTAACATGATATAAAAAGATATCATATCAATTTTATAACTTGAATTTATAAAATAAATTCAAATTAGATATGATATTATAGATTTAATTTATGAAATAAATTAAATTAAATTTCATTAGCTATAAAAACCCTAATTTATATAATATAGATAAGAGACAAGTTTTCACAAAGAGACTCTCTTGACGACAAAATTTTGAGAGTTATAAAAATACCCTAAAAAACAAAAGAAACATTTGATTGATGAACAGAAGTTAAAAGCACTAGCACGTTTTTCATGTTGAAAAGCAGTTCGTGTGGATACCGGTCGAAGGAATCGATATGTGTTGTTAGCTCCTGAGGTCTAAACACTGGAAGGAAGCTCAAAAGTTTGACTTCTAAAAGGTATTTTTTTTATCCACCTTAACTTAAACCAATTTGATCAGTTCACGATCACGTTTAAGATTTAAATCTTTGATTTTTCACTGCGCCTCTCGATCCAATAGCATGGTTTTTAGCAGGATTGATCATTATTACACTTACTAAGGTAACATTATGATTGCTCATATGGTGATCGATCAATATCAGCGACAAAATGATCAACTTCTACTTAAGTGTCAGCTAAACGGTCAACATTTAAGGGATTTAATGAAGTAATCACTTTTGCACCAACTTTAGTAATGTTATGGGTATTTTTTTTCTTTTTTTCTTACTTTAGGTTACTTTAACTAACTACTTCATGAGTATTTTTGCTACTTTTTTAATTCATCTTGTCAAAGCCTGACACATGACATGCACAGTCAATATTTAACACAGAAAACTAATGACTTTAAGGTAAAGTTAATGCTTTGGTCACTTCTGCACTCAATCATGTAATGTTGTGAATATTTATGCCTTTTTTTCTTACTTTATGATATCAGATGCCTCTGGTCGACTATTTTATTTATAGATCCTTTAATCCTTAAAAAAAAAATTCTTAAGAAGACTAGTTTCCAAAAAAAAAAAAAAAACCGTGCTACATTGATTTACTCATTTAGAAATTTAAGAACTATATTTTTTTGGCAAAAATATATTCTTTTGACCCTTTTTTGATATAAAACTTCATATTTTTTGTTGGAATTAAAAAATTTCAAATGGTTCGCATAAAGCTTCTTATTCTTTTATAGCATGGAACTTCATGTCATATCAATATCACACGCACACAAGCGAGAAAATAGTGAATTATCCCACATTTAATCTCCTTGAATCGTTATTCGGCCCAGCCACTTCCCGCCTGAGAAAAATCATAATAATTTCGTAAACGAATGCAATCCATGTTTAACTTTAATTAACAACAACAACAACAACAATAATAATTAATCATTCAATCTTTAAAATTCACTTATTTATAACCCAATCAACAAATTTTAATTAACTTATAATTTAATATTTAAATTTTAAACCTTACAAATTAATTCGTATAGTTTAATCAATTAAAATATTTTTTTATAATTTTAAAAATAAAAGTATAAAAATATAAAATTATGTTAAAATTTAAAATTAATATTTTAAATTATTAAACTCTTTTAATATTTATAAAAATTATAAAATTTTAAAATAATTTTAATATTTATAATTTTATTTTTTAAAATATTAAAATTAATATTTAAATGATTAAAATTATATAAATTAAATTATAAAAATTAAAATTTAAGAATTGAGTTGGATTAAATTAAAATTATAAAAATTGAATTAATTTTTTACCAATAATAATAATAATCGTTGTCGCGGTCGTCCTCCTCGTCGTCATCATAGTTTTAACCATCTGGACGGAAAATTCATCGGTTTTCCAATAGCCATATGTTCTCTTTCTCGTTTCATTTCTGTGCCTCTACCTTCTTCTGCAGATAGAAGCCATCGTCGTCTTCTCCAACTCTCAAGTTGAGTCTAAAGCCTTTAACTCTTCTCATGCGAACCTCTTGGTTAGACGGGTCAATTCCATTTCTTGTAAACACGAAAGCCCTCCCTCATTGTCGACTAGCACCCCCTCTTCTGCTTCATCCCAGCTACACAATAATTTACAGTCTCCTTCCTCCTCCCTGCTGGCTCTTCAGACAGTTCGACGTCCAAATCCCCTATTCTCTATCGGATTAGAATAGGGTTTATCAAAAACGGAAGGTATTTACTTCATGATGTTATTGTCATGGAAGGCTGAATTTCCTTTAATGGGTGTTTATGCAATGATCGCTTAAGTCTTGTGCGCATATATGGTCAGTCCATTGCTTTAGTTGTTTATGATTTATTGTTCTTCTGTTATCTCTGTTCGTTGCATTGCTGTTCGAGACGATTGATGGTTAAAGGAGATATTAAAATTGATTATAGAAGTTTATCCTGTTAGAATCTATTGCCTTTATGGAGCCATTTGTTCTCAAAGAGCGTGACTTTGGGCTACCTATGCTGTAAGATGACATCATTTTGGATTGTATGAGGTTTAACATTACGAACGTGTCAATAGAAAATTCCATTATATGATTTCAATCAATTTCTGAATCTGAACACTGAATTTTACCCTTCAGGTGTCTTGTTTCCTGTGACTTATATACATCAGCTTCTTTTATTGTTTATTGTTTGGGTCTACTCTACTCTGGACCAATGCATGTGTTAGGCTTGTAGCTGATTTTATACTATAAATTTTAACAGTCTTTCCAGTTTTGACATTGCTAAACTTTGATCAAAAATCACCTTACTGACGCCGCTAGATAATGATTATGGACAGATGTTGAATCATGCATAATTGAATTGGAAACATAGGTATATATCAAGCTTTGCTGGAATGTAGCTTTTTTGAATTGAATGGGTTTAACGTTTCGGTCTCGATCTTTCACTTCGGTGAAATTCATAACCTGTGACCATGAGGTTTGTATTGTATAGACTCTTCATACTTCGGTAACTATAACGTATCACGTAACAGTATGGTAAACCAATAGAAATTTACTGGAGTGATTGTGCTCCAGTCAAACCCCTTGCAACACACCCAAATGATATGCTGTTTACTATTAGATGTTTAGACTTGACAGGGCTTATTAAAAGTTGGTCTTTTACACTTTCTATCGCAGGCAATGACAGCTCAGACATTTGTAGTACTCTCTGCTCTTGTCATGATCTTACTTCAACCAGCTTTTCCACCATCAGCTTTGGCAACATTTCAAGCTACATCAAAGGCTGGTGGTCCTGCTGCTGCTGCGGTTGGTAGGAAACTAAGCCAAACTGAGCTGCTAAGTAGTAATTGGACCGGTTTCTTCACTTGTTGCTTGCACACGTTATCAAGGCCTGACCACCTTGCGGCTTTGGCTCCATTATTCATTGGTCGCAGCCGAATGGAGAGTGCTGCTATTGGAGCCCTGTGGGGTCGTGGCCATGATGCTGGTCAAGTCATATTTGGCTTAATATTTTTCCTTCTAAAAGATCGACCTCACATTGAGGTTATCCGAACCTGGGGGCACCCGGGTGGTTGGCCTCACCCTCCTTCTAATCGGTGCTATGGGAATTGGGGAAGCTTCAGAAGTGCCAATGCCATGCGTTGCTTTCGAAAATGGTGAATGTGATGTGATGTGAGTGCATATGAAGCACTTCAGAATCCAGCGGCAGGAAAGAAGATCGGGTTTGCTACAGTGATAGTTCATGGTCTGCAGCCAGATGCATTGATGATGGTATTGCCAGCCCTTGCTCTGTCTTCTCGCTTGGCAGGTGCTGCATTTCTTGTCATGTTCTTGCTCAGGACAATAGTTGCAATGGGAAGCTATACAGTTTTCTTAGGTTCATGTAGTGAGGCTCTGAAAGATTAAGTACCTAGAATAACTGAGAAGCTCACTTGGGTTTCTTCCCTTGTTGCAATAGCCTCGGATTTTCCATCCCCGTTAGCCAGTCTTTGGGGCATAGCTTTTATTAATGCCTCTTTTAAGACAAGTCTCTCTATTTTTGAAGCATATTAATGGACAGAAGAGAAAGCAGGGGCCTGAGAGATATTGGATTGTTTAGAGCAGGTCTATTGTTGTTCCCGCAGCATCTGAGATTGATCGCTGTCATTGTTTCTTGACTCGGGTGTGTATAACTTCATCTATGTATTCAAGGAACACTTCTGCATATGTGTCTTACGTTCTTCTTACTTGCACATACTTTTCTCGTTTTCTTCTATTTTCTGTCCTGCTATGTGCTCTGAGAAGAATCACGGCCCAACCTCAGGCCCTAGATAGCACAATACGGATGCTTAAAAATTTCCTAGCTTAATCGGAAGTGGGAAATGGTGAAGGAGAAGTTTGTGAATCAAATGGATAGAATTAGTGAAAGAAAAAAATGGGTAAATTTTGTTTTATAATTATGCAGCAAGTGTACGGAGATGGATAGCCAGGAATCAGTGTTTAACCACTTCTGCAAGTGCTGTTCTCTGTCGGATTCTTTCAACAAAAATCTCCTAATAACTCCTTAATTATGATTGGAACATTTTGCCCCTTGCGTCATGGTGCCCAAGAATCTATTCTCCATGAAACCTTTATAGAATAGGCAGGGTCATTTGTTTTCCGAAGCTGCAGATCTCCACTATAATGCTTCTTTGACCAATGCTCAATCATTGACACCAACAACTTTTCAATTCAATCAAATCTCGTTTTTGCCTGTTGGGAAATACGGACAGCTAGCAACCATCTCATTGTTCTGAAAGAATAGTTACTTGAGCCAGTTGGCAAATGAAGTTGTCACTTTTATTGTGGTGGCAAGATTAGGTGAATTTTATGTTACCCCATCGGTGAAAAATTTGCCAAAAAAGATTTTCTGGGTCCTTGAGATCACGTTGGAAATACCCCTTCAATAACAGCAAAACCCAGTTCGAGGTCGAAAATAATTGAAATAAGAGACAATTGTCTTATCTCATGTCACTGATTCGAATCGTTTTACTTTTGAATTAAGGGTTATTTTTGTATACAAAAAATCACAAAGGTCCTACAATTCAACTATAGATCAACTTTGTCCTTCAATGTTAAGAATTTCCTCTATCATCATTGTGATATTAAATACTTAATATTCATTGATCATCAGTGGGATTCATTATTTCTTAATATTTTTTTATTGTATTAAGGGTTATTTTTAACTTCTATTTAAAGGGTTATTTTTGCTTTGTAACTCAAATATTTTATAATAAAAATATTAAAAATATATACTATGAGGTCTACTAACGGTCAACTAAATGTGAAAAAATAACAGGGTGGTAAGAAAGAAAATCTTTAAAATTGAGGGACAAAATTAATTCATAATTGAGTTTAGAACATTTTGTGTATAGTTTAGGAATAAAAATGATTTTTAACTTTTTATTTTTTCCCCCAATTCAGTTGGAGTTAAAATTGTTAGATTTAACCAGACAAATCATTGCTCGTCAACTCAAATATTTGAAGGGTCATTTTTGCCCTTCAACTCAAATATTTTATAATAAAAAATTAAAAAATATAATGTGAAACTCACTAATAGCCAACTAAAAGTAAGAAAATGGCAGGATAATAAGGAAGAAAATTTTTAGAGTTGAAGAATAAAATTAACACGTAATTAAATTTAAGAATATTTATAAATTTTCATATATAATTTAAAGATAAAAATGACTTTTAGTTCTTTATTTTTTCCCCCAGTTCAATTGGAGTTAAAAGGAGACAAATCATTTTCATTCCGATAATCCTGCAGACTGGAATTTATTGGGCAAAAGTGATTTTTTTTTTCACAAGCATATCTCATGCCAAAAAAAAAACTATGAGATACATTTTGAAATCGAAGACGCAAACAAGACGGGGACCCCCCCCCCCCCGGCGAGGGCTTATTATGCCTTGCTTATCTTCATCCATTGATATATCAAGTTACTATTTATTTTCAACTTAGCAAGATGGGAGGAAAGTAAAATGGAAAAAGGCGATAAAGTTTCCGGGAATAAAAGATGTTCTATTGTTGTGCATGGTAAAATTCTCTCAGATCAGGGGGCCCTTGAGCATATATTGCTAGTGCGTCTAAATACTCGAAGCCACGAAATCCTTATGAAGTAAAATCTCTGAAAACAACCGAACAAAAGGAAATTTATGATCAAATGATTCATCCATATGATTCTCTGTTCTTTTCGGTGGTTGCCATCATGCCATGTACATGTATTTACTTTTCCCGGAAAATAAGCCTAGAAAATCAAAGCCTCTATGCTGGCCCTCTTTGGCATCGTGCAGACAGGGCAAGCCTGGAGAAAAGGCTCGCAAGCTTTGCACGAAGAAAGGTGTCTGCAAGGAAGGAACAAAAAGCTCGACACCCCACACTTACAACTTTTGCAAGCAGTCATCTCTCCCACTGTCTCTTCTTCTTCTCCTTCCATCAGCTGGTAATCTCCTCCGCTCTCGTCCCAGCAGGATTGTGCGTCATGTGCCAATACATTGTTGAAACTAGAGTGAGCTTTTTCTTTCATCTTCTCCAGAGAGTTATTCAGGGATAATATCAAGGCTTCGCTCTCCACAGCAGCTCTCCGCCATGCCTGATTCTCTGCTTCTAGTCTGTCTAAAAGACATTCTAACTCCATCCTTTTCTTTGCCGCGCTAGCAATTTCTTCATCTTTTTGACCCATCGAATCTCGCACGTTCAATTCCACGGTGCTCAATATCGTCGCCACTTGTCGCTTCCTCTGCTCTTGCAATTTCATGCTCAGGTTCTCACCCTGTTACAACGACCAAGTGAAGGGAATATTATGAATATAAAAGATTGAGCGGAAGAAGTTGGAGGCAGGAATAGCACCGACCTGCAATGTGATATAATGATCAAGCTGGTGATCGAGGAGAAACATGTTGGGGTGGATCTGCATGTAATTGTAACAGTGTTGTGGTTGTATTTGGGGAGGGGGAGGGAAGGCAGCGGCATGGGATGTAAGGAAGTCCTGTGAAGTTTGTGGGAACCCAACGTAAATGGCCATGCGGAAGAGCAGGAGCATTGCCAGATCTCAAGTCCCAAGCCTACGAAAGAGAGAAGGCTGGGGGGGTGCCGAGTGGAATAAAATAAGAGATAGTGACTACTGACAAGTGTGAACGAGAAAAGGGCAAGTCAGACGCGAGTGCGTGTTGTTTAATTTGTCGTCTCTGTGACCAGGGAAGGAAGACGTAGCAGACGCGTTTGTTTTGAAGACTGTCCAAGACGGAATATCTTTTAATTGTCAGTTCCTTCATTCCAATTATCGAAATCCATGCTTCCTATTAATTCCCATTTGATTATTCATTATCATCCCTGAGCTGCTAGTTAATTACTTGCATGTTGGAGCTCGTCTCTGCATAATCCAAAATATTATCCTTCTCTTTTATAATAATTAAAGTGTTCTAAAGACCCGCGTGATTGCTGTCATTTCCGCAATTAAATATGCTCAAAAAATCATCATCATCATCATTTGCCACCAACAATACTTCGTTGATACTAAAAAGCAGACTGCAGCAAAAATACTCAGATTATACTTATCAGTGGCATTCATACTTAACAAATGAGAACGTAGTAACCAAGTATCTTAGTAGTAAATTAATATCAATCAATAATCAATTGATATCAAAATTGCAATGCAGTCTTTTAGTTCTTACTAATATTAATTTGTAAAATTAAAAGACTAAATTGTCCCTCAAATTAAAAAGAAAAAAAAAGAAGAAGAAGAAATCCCAATTGATGGATCCCTTCCAACAATGATGCCATCAATGACATTTTCATTCAAGAAATAATTGGTTTAAGTGACTGAAGAAGAATGTAATCCCATAATTTTTAACCACCTAAAAAGCTTGATGGCCATAAGGCAACTAAGCCTTTTAATTATATATAACAATATATGTATATAAGTAGTAAGCTAAATTTCTAACCATTTTCATATTATAACATATGTTTTGTTAATTTTTGAACAAAACTTGTTATTTTACAAATGTTATTTTATGAACTTGACATTAATAATTACAAATTGAAAACTTTAAAACTTCATACATTTTACTTGTTAAAAGTTTAAATATATTGTTGTTAATCATGAAGGATTAAGACATACAATTAAGATCATCCAATCAATTTTTTTAATTTGTTAAAATCATAATAGATTATTGTTAATTTCAAACGAATTGTTGTGAAAATCTAAATGTACATTTATTGATGAAAGACTAACACATATAATTAAGCTCATCTTCTTCCTTTTTATAGCTTGTTAAAACACGAATGGATTATAGTTAATTTAAAATGAGTTGTTATCAAAACCTGAATGGATAACTTAATATTGATAATTAAAAACACATGTCCATTCATTTTTTATATAATATGAGTATAGTTATATGAGTTAGTTTTCATCAATTAATGTTCATTTGGATTTTAACAAGAATTTATTATAAATTAACAATAGTCCATTCGAGATTTAACAAGTTAGAAAAGTAACAATCCATTAGACCTTTGCTTTTAATTATCAACTACAAGTATCTATTCACATTTTGATAACAATTCATTTAAAATTAACAACAGTTTATTCAAATTTTAATAAGCTAAAAAAACAGATAAGATGTGCTTAATTTTATGTGTTAGTCATTTATCAATAAGTGTACATTTAAGTTTTCACAGCAGTTTATTCAAAATTAATAATAATCTATTCTAGTTTTAACAAGTTAAAAAAAGGATGGGCTTAATTGTATGTGTTAGTTTTTTATTAACAAATATCTATTCAAGTTTTGACAATAACTTATTCATAATTAACAACAATACATTTGAACTTTTAATAAGTAAAATATGTAAAGTTTTAAAACTCAGAATTTGTAAATATCTATGTCAAATTAACAAGTAACATTTATAAAATAATAAGTTTCGTTTAAAAATTAATAGCACACTGTTATATCATAACATGAAAGTAGTTAGAAGTTTGATTTACAACTTATATATATATATATATATATATATTTCTTGCTATTTATAATTAAAGTGTTTGGTGACTCAGTGGCAATCAAGTTTTTTAGCTGATAAGGGTCATGGGATCAAATCCTCCTTTGGTCACTTAAACCAATTATTTATTGAATAAAAATGTTACCGGTGTTGGAGCTCTGGTGATCGACTGCTAGGGGTTCCAACGACCTCACTACTGGCAAGGGTCCGACAGCGGGGTTTCTTTTGTTTTTAAATTTGAGGGACGGATTGGTCTTTTAACCTCACAACTCATTTAAAGACCAAGGGATTGTATTATAATTTTGAAGTAGAATTAACTGATATTAATTTACTACTAAAGTCCTTAGTTGCTATTTTTTCTTAAAAAAAAAAAAACCTCGGATCACATCCTAGCATTAAGGTGGATCATGATCTGAAAGAAATTTTTAAAATAATTTGAAGTTCTTGGTGGGTTGGTAAGACGGTGAAATCAATGTGTGGTGTTATATCTATGTATGATGCATTTAATCTTGATGTGAACTATTCTACGAAGCATGAAAATTTATTAATTTCCACGTAAAAATCTTGTATACTTAATTTTATATATTTAATTATTAATTTATAATTAAATCCAAATAGATGGTTTTTTTTTTTGGCCCATAGTACTTATTTTATAACTTCCTTTTTGTTTAAAACAAGAGTCGAAAGTTAGTGATGGCATCCATACTTGGCCGGGCCTCATTAGTAAAGCTGCGTGGTTAAAATGTTTGAATAAGAAATTGGTAGAAAATGCGATGAAGGGTGTGAGGGAGAAAGAGTGGGAGTGGTGGGATCAGTGTGAGGGGAATCAAACATGGGGCCAAATTTGATGGATCATGACTAAGGATTGAAATACACTATTGGTTTATTATAATTATTAAGAGGCATTGCTGCATTACCGTAGACTAGCTAGTACGAGCAGTTGAAAGCGTGTGCAGGACTTGCGGTGCGTCAATGGCCCAAACAACACGTAATACTTTTGTCTTTTTGACCTGTTTCATTACCTCCCAAGTGGCAGCCCACCTGCCCACCTACCACTTTTTTTTAAAAAAACCTTTTTTGCATATCACCATTACCCCATCGCCTTTATTATTAATTAACATTTGTCAATTTTATTCCTATTACAAATTACCTTAAAAAATTTTTGATTCCAATTTAATATTTCTACATGACTCCTCAAATGTCATGTTTCTCCCTTTCATGGGGTAAAGCTAGAATATTTTTAAATTTTTAAATTTTAAGACATGTTAAATGAATTCACTAGCCTTCCTTATTTTTTTCAGTGAACTTGATTAATGAAGATGAACTTGTGGGGTGGGGGGGGGTTAAGCAAGACCAAATTATCAGAACCGAACAGCTTACTAGAATTTCAGGTGACGAAAATTCAACACGTCTAAATCTAAATCTAGACAGGATCTTCTAAATATACAAAAAGTTGCTGACTCCTAAACCCGACATCTCATGTTAGCTTCTTTTGAACATTTTGGCAAGGTGACACGCCACGCACGCACTTGTCTATCTAAGCCACATGATCCCGCAAATCCTGTGAATCCCCAATCACTGCCCTAAATCCAACCAAACCTTCAGACTCGATTTCGCTGTAAATGTTATACGCGATTACCTTTGCCTTCTCATCACGGGGGCGCCGACCGGCAGCCATACATTATACTCCCTCCGTTTTTATTGGTGTTTAAAAAAATTATATATATCACACACTTTAAAAAAATCAATTAATTATATTAATTATGTCTAAAAATAAAAAAAAATTATACTACAATACTATTTGTGATGAACAATAAATATCAGGCGTGTGAGAGACACTGAGTTTCAATTGATAACAAAAGGATACTGAGCTATTTAACACAGTTTACTTAAATATAAAAAGATATAAAATTTTAGTATAACAAATGTTTGATTATTATTGAAATGTAAAAAGATTACAAACCTAAAACTGAAAACTAAAAAGGACTAATGAATGTAAAATTGTGAATTTTTGATTGAGTGTTGACTATTTTCTTGTATTTTCTTCTTCTATTTATACTGTCAGAGTGGCGGTAGCCTTTTCCTTGAAACCTGCCACGATTGTGTCTTCATGCCAACGATCTAATATTTACAATTAATAAAATTTTGGCATGTTTACTTATTATGATCTTTATTAAGTCTCGGGTTCGGCTTCTTTCGTTTATATTGGGCCTGATGCTTTAATTTCTTAGTCTAACTAGACCTATAAACTATTTGATCTATTTTTCATATTTAGTCCAAACAAATATCCTTCACTAATCATGTTAATCAAGCCTTCATTAATTATTTTTTATGATTATGAATGATAAAATTATAAAAAATAATTTAAAAAGTTTATAAGAAATGTTTATTAAAAAATATAATTTTATTTATATTAAAAAATAAATTAAAAGTGATTGTTTTTTTATAAATATATATAAAAGAAGTATATGGCTTATCATCGATTCGCGGCACGGCCATTTATTCATACCTCAAGGCTTAACTAAAGCATGGTATGGCATCTGCGCAAAGTTCAAGGCACGTGGTCACACTATGACCACCGCCCCCCGACGCGTATGCATGCATGCCTGACCCTCCCACTCTCCAACAAGTTTTGTGGCCTTTGCGCGTATTTCCACAACAACGTAATATGAGCTTCAATTAATTTGCTTGTTTCTTTCCTTAACCCATTTCCCATTGCTATAAATTAGCGTGCCTCGGATAGCGAGTTATAGTAATAGTTGATAAGTACAAGGTCTCATCAAACCCAAATTAATGATCAAGTTTACGGCCGATGGGACAAATTAAGGATGGAATTTTGTCAACATATCCACGTTCCTGTGCTTACGCGCAGGCCACGTGTTCAGTTAGAGGTGAAAAATGAATACGGTTGAATGTGGTGTGTACTGTGTCGTGTATATATAAAAAGCCCAGGTGTCCGGTCAGAATTGAATTATGAGATGGTGTTTGGACGTTAAGCTAGACACCAACACACACGCAAATAGCGTGAAAGCGGCCATATGTGCTTGCACCTATATCCTCTTGGCAGCTCCTTTGTTACTTTGGACGG